CTCTGATAACATTTTTAAAGCTGAAATGTATATCTAATGAAATGGCTCTTACAAGCCGGAAATTGGGAGGTTGTTCTGTGTGCTGAATATGAATAGGAAAACCAAAGGGCAGATCTACACTTTCTGCTTGCACCACTGTCCGTGCCAGCCAGCCATTTTTTGTGTGTGGGCAGGAACAGATGATGTCATCTTCCATCCAATTCTAGCCTATCACAAAATGCAACTATTGCCTGTATTTTAAAATGCTGGTTCAGAACTGCTGCTTTCCATCCTAAGCCTTCTTCAGCCATTCCAAGGGGATGGTTTGCGGCACTTCTTTCTGATCTAGTGACCACCCCAGGTCCAGTTGTCTAGAAGGCCTGGCACATCCCCACTATTTTAAAAATTATGTTGTGGTTGATCCAATAATGGTCCATTAAATAATTTTTCCTCGCCCTCCATTTTCCCCTCCCCCTAGAAGTTCATTGCTCCAATCAACTCTGATATCTCCCAGTGAGACGCTTTTGGTTGCTACCAAACTAAGCATGACCTTCTTGCTTTCCTACCTCTTTATATCCTGTTTCCCCCAAAATAAAACCCAACTGGAAAATAAGCCCTAGCATGATTTTTCAGGATGCTCATAATATAAGTCCTACCCCAAAAATAAGCCCCAGTTAAGATAATCAGATGGATGCATTTGGTATTGTATTTCCACAAAACTAAGACCTGACTGTAAAATAAACCCTAACACATCTTTTGGAGCAAAAATTAATATAAAACCCAGTCTTATTTTGAGGGAAACATGGGTAGTACTGCAAAGGGGGCATGGTTACTCACTGGTTAAAGACACTAAGCTTGTCAGCTGGAAAGCTGGCAGGCTGGGTTCACAACCCAAGCGCTGCACAACAAAGTGAGCTCCTTACACTTGTCCAAGCTTCTGCCACCCTATCAGTTTGAAAGCATGCAAATGCAAGTAGATAAATAGGTATCATTTCAGTGGGAAGATGACAGCATTCCATGACTCTCAACGTATAGTCATGCTGTCCACGTGACCATGGAAGTATCTTCAGGCAAGGCTGACTCCCTCAGCTAAGAAATGGAGGTGAGCACCCCCCCCCCCAGTTGGACATGTCTGTACAGAGGAGATCTTTACCTTTATAATACTGCAAAGCTTCACTTCCCCCACCCGCATTCCTTTTTTAAAAAATGTGAAGATGCAACATAGAATCATTGGAACTAAGCTACAAGTCTCAGTGAATGTGAAACACTGGCCCTATAAAACTGCATCTATCTGTAAATCTAGATGGCAGTTTGTCTCATGTCAAACTGCAAGCTGAGGGCATACCAGTCTAGTATCTGATTTTTTTTTTAATATGAACAATGCTGCGCTTCAGTGGTTAGATGGCTTTGATATTAGTATTTGAACTCAAATCTTTTTAACATTTATATTTTATTGTGTTTTATTAACCTAAGTGAAATGTTAATATATATTGTTAGTCCATGTATGATATGCCATAATCTAAAATAAATAAATCCAGATGGCCCAGACTCTGTTAGCCTCTTGTAAAGAGCAGGCTGATCTCCCGCCCAGACCTTTGGGCTAAGTCAACTCTATTGGCTGATTTGTTTGGTTCTAATCCTAGGATTAGAAGTGCAATGTTCTTGGATCTCACACGTAGGTTTATCTTTATTTGTTGCTTCTGGTTATTATTGATATTGTTTTATATCAGGTGTTTTTGTTTAACTTTTAATCCTTTAATATTCCGGTACTTAGAGACACAGCATTGTGAGATGGGCATCTATATACATTGTTAAAATGAGACATAATAAAACAATAAATATTCTTAACTCCTTGCAGACTATATTATGCATGGCTCCAAGCACAATAGATTCTATGTATTTGATTAGCTGTTATATGAGGTAATTGTTTCCAGCCAGGAAACAATACTACATATTTTAAAAAGCAGACCTTCTAGTTATATCCTTGTCATAAATAATTTGCAATAATGTGTAAGCATCAGATGATTTTTTTTCCCCTGTACTTTTAGCATATGTTTGCCAAAATGATCTTTAGAAGAACTCACTGTACAACACTTTTATTATACTGGCATTTACCTATATACAATATTTATATCACACATTTCCATGAAAAATTCAAGATGGATAAATTCCTAAGAGATTTGCCGTCATTTTCATGTACTTTTTGATTTTATGATTACATTGCTAAGAAAAACATTCACATTATACACCTTGCAGAGTCCTCTTGCAGTGAAACTGACAATTATTTTTTATTTAATCAATTCGTAAAGCTGCACATCTCAACAAGTGACATAATAACGGAGAAGCCACTGTTATCAGATCCAGTGAATTTCCCAATGGGGAAATATACAAGGAACAATTAAGGACACAAATGCCAGGGTTAAACTGAGTAGATAATAGAAAGCACCACTTTACAGGGGAACTGTTTCTTTTACTCATAAGAAAAATTACCAAATGAGTCTCCCATAAGTCAGTTTTATGGGATTTCCACTATCAAATTTTGAAGGTGACTTTTTTTTTCTTATATTAAATGAGGAAATATCTGTTTTATCATATGTCAGGAAGTAGCAGAGACAATCAACACACAACTAGGTAAGGAGATCTTAAGCTTTATAATAACATTAGCAGGCTGATGTAAAGAGAAACATAAAAGCATAACATACCAAGCAAGATAATCTCACCAGCTGTTGGAAGCCCCAGTGAAGAGACCACAAAGGCCAGGTCCTGCACTGTGCTAAGCACTCAGGCCTGTTCCGAAGTTCAAATGACCTTATTAAGTTCTGGCACCAAGCAACATAACCCTACTTCCATGGTAATGAGACTGCAGGATCTGACCTTGACTGGATAGCGCATAACTCTCAAACAAGGGTTCTGAGAACATAGCTGATAAGCCAGTAGTAATCTAAACAATCTACAGCTGTGTGAAGATTCCCTCCCTTTTCCCTCACTCATGAAGCAAGAATGAAAAACAAGCAGGTTGGCTCAGAATGAACTCTAAACTTCTAGAATGTTCTTAATACAAAGGAGAAATCAAAATATGTCACTAAACTCCTTTATACAATAATACAATGGTCTTCCAGATCGCCACTACACCATCTCATATCTTTCTGACTTAGGGAAAAGAGTATCAAAATATTAAAAACACTAATAGGATAGCAGGGTCACTATGGCAGTGACATATATGTCACACTTAGGGTTGACACCCAAGTAGGCATCTATTCACTTTCATTGTTGTTCAATAAACACCACAGTAATTAACTCAATCTGGAAGTCAGGTGACCCCATTTAACCTTGGCAACGCCTTGGCTGTTTTTTTTTCTTTCTCCTTGTAAAATGTTTGCCAATTACTTACTTTTAATAATAAATTCACTTCAGTTCATATACACATCTAACTGTAGGCAGGATTAATCATCTTATATGTTAGCAATTCATAATTCATCCTAGTGACAGGGGGAAAACAGCATACATGGAAGAGAGTAAACTTCATTTCTAAGGCATTCACAGCTTATCTGGATAACTTTTTATAAATATGCGGCATCAGCATTTGCACATAAGGAAGGTTAAATCCAAACACTGGCATTTTTAGAATTAGATTTGCTGAAATCAATGGGGCCTCTATCTAAATTAAAGTTCTGCTGATGGAAAGGAATCTCATCTAAGAGTGTCACCTTACAAAATAGATCAGATCTGGAAAGCAACTCAACAGGAAGACTAGTACTCTATTCCAGAATTCCCCAACTTTCCAGCTTTGTGGACCGGTGGGAAAGGGTGAGAGAGGGGATGGTTTCACATGAGTGGCCAGCAAGCATGTATGTGCAGTTCCATTTGAGTGAGTGACATGCACGTGTGCCTGCCATTCATGCAAATGGAACATGAGTGCACATACTTGCCTGCTGCTCGTGTAAGTGGGGATTGTTGAGGTAATTCCCCATTAGGAGAATGAGCGCATACAGGGAGACGTATTGAGAGTAGTGTTTGAATAATACACACACAGAACACAGATACACTTTACAGTAAATGTAGGGTTTTACTTTCGATAAAGGTTTAAGCAAAGTTCAGAAAAACAGTCCAAAGTCATTCACAGGTAAAATCAGTCAGTTTTCAGTCCAGGGATAATCCAATAACAAAGTCCAGTGTCAAAAACAGTTCAGTATCAGACTTACATCAAATCCAAGAATATTAGTCAATTAGGAAAAATGGAGGAACGTCAGTACTCTCCAACAGAAGGAAACAGAGACTCACTGAGACTTCTGAAACTAAGACTGATAACCCAGGTTTCTGGCTCCATCTTATGGCCATTTGAGAAACCATACCCAATTACACTTTTAGGATTCTGTTAAAGTTACAGTATTAAAATGTCTATCCTGGTTTATATATTTCCAGCCCAAATAGCTGGTAGGTGACTTACATTCCTAACAGGGATGCACATGCACACACTTACCCACTTGCTTGCTATTTCTGTGGCAAACAGCTCACAGCCCACTAGTGGGCTGAAGCCCAGAGGTTGGGGACCCATGCTCTATTCTATTGAGATAAACAATACTACTACAATTTTGCAATTCTGATTGTGCTTTGGTTTCCCTCCCTCTTACACTACATTGAGTTAGGATGAGCCATTCTAAATTTCTTCTTAATGGCTATCTGTTTTCCCAGGACTTAAGGTATGCATCTGTATCTTTTGTTTACATAACAATTTCTGAATATGTCTTTCCAGCCATCTCCCTAACTTTCTACAGAAAAAAAAAGTCAAATCATGTTCATGTTCAAGAAAAACACATGGATACATTTATGAAGTCACAGCAAGAGTCAAGATTGCCTCTGAAGAATATTTCACCTTTTTAATTTGAAACCTGCATTAGTTTAGATTATCAGAATTGGAAGAGACCTTGTACGTCATTTAATCCATAAATACTTGATGGATATGTCTAAGCTGAAATAAATAACTATCCTTATTTAGTCTATAATGCTTTTGTTTTCTTTAGATGGCTTCGGTAACAGATGCTAGATATGGACCCAAGGATGTTTCAGACCAGAACTTTGATTATATGTTCAAGCTCCTGATCATTGGCAACAGTAGTGTGGGCAAGACTTCCTTCCTCTTCAGATATGCTGATGACACTTTCACACCTGCCTTTGTCAGTACAGTGGGAATTGACTTCAAAGTGAAGACTGTTTACAGGAATGACAAGAGGGTAAAACTGCAGATTTGGGTGAGTACCCATGATTCTCGCATCATTTACTCTGGGCACAGATTTAAAGGGTTATTATCAGTATAATTTCCAGATTATTCCTTGATTGTGGGAAAGCAAGTTTTATTTGCTTGCCTGCATTTTATTTGGACAGAAGGCTGAAGCTACAGTATGTTCATTGCTTGTTATTGCAGAGGATGGGCAACCTTTAAATATCAAATAATTGCACTTAACATTTTTTGAGCATCTGGGTTCTACAGTGAGCAATGGATGTGCCTTGAATTTTCTTGGTTAATTTTCCTTAGGTTTTTGGAAGGAGTTATATGAATTCTATATTCTTTAGTACTTTATTATAAGCAGATGCATTCAGTATTTCTTTCTGGATATTTCCTAAATCAGGGGTCCCCAAACTTGGCAACTTTAAGACTTGTGGACTTCAACTCCCAGAATTCTGGAAGTCGAAGTCCACAAGTCTTAAAGTTGCCAAGTTTGGGGACCTCTGTCCTAAATAAAGCAGTGTGCTTTATTTACTTACTTGTACATTGCATTTAGACAATGATGTTAACACATTGTAAAATAGGAAAGGCACTATCCTAAAGGTGCTTTTTTCAAAAGGCAACTTGACTTTGTTTTTCCTTGAAGATGTTTTGCTTCTCATCCAAGAAGCTTTTTTAATTTTGGAACTGAACAACTGAAGAAGCTTCTTGGATGAGAAATGAACCCTCTTCAAGGAAAGCAAAGCCCAGTTGCCTTTTGGAAAAAGCACCGTTGGGACAACCATGGCCTGGATGACTGAGACTCTCCATAGACAGTAGAGGCACTAGTTACTTTTCCCTGTGATTCTTCTTGTCTACTTACTGATTGTAGCATTGTGGTTGAGCCCACACAGTGAAAGGCTGGAGATCTCCAAGTTCCTCTCCTAGAAACCTTCTGGGTCTCTTCACTATAGCTCTGTCTTCTGCCAAGTTGTGATATTTTGGAAGTTCTCCATCTGTTTTTCAGGGAGATGCCATTATCTGCCATTACCTTAACTTTGCATGTGGAAGAGACAGGAGTCACACAATCTGTCTTACTGGCAAATAAAAGGGGGAAAATGATAGAAAATATGCTCCATAGTGCCTTTCCTACAAAACGATCAATGTAGACAAAATAACACAGGATTGCCAGAATTACAGACTTCATAGAAAAAAGTTAAACAAGAACATGCACAAGAATATGTAAAGTTCTGAGCAGATCCCAGGGTGATGGTGATTTGACCCTTGTTTACAAATAACCCTGAGGTGCCGATGTGCAATATGCACGAGATACCAATATAGACGGCATAAAAGTATCAGTAAATAAATGAATAAAATATAGTACATACAGTATACAAGATCTAAATTGGTAGAAACAATGATCATCAGAGGAACAAACTTAGAGGAAAAGTAATTAAACTTAATGCCACTCTCAGCAAACATTATCCAGTTCTTCTATAAAAAAAAATAGAAGACTCTCAGCACAGATATTATATGTGTGCCGATTTATTACATGGATAAATTCTTTTTCCTACAAATTCCAACTTTAATCTGAGAAAGAAGGAGAATCTCAGCTCTTTCCCACTCCCCACTTCAACACAAAGCTTCTTTCTCTTTTTCTCCATAAGGTTTGCAGAGGGCCTTGGGTAATCTGTCTTTGTATGTGTGACTCAGGACATACAATTTTCTATGTACAGATGCCTGTGGAGATTCTTAGTCATTCCAGGTCATAGTTGTCTCAAAAGTGGTTTTTTTTTTCAAAAGGCAACTAGGCTGTTTTTTCCTTGAGGAAGAAGGAGAAAACTGCCAGTACCTATCCATCCCTCGCATCACAACTGATAAAGCATCTGGGATGAGAAGCAAAACTTTTTCTTCTTCTTCCTCAAGGAAAAAAAAAACAGTCCAGTTGCCTTTTGAAAAACTACTTTTGAGTTTTCATGTACAGATTTAGATCCCCTGTGTGAGATGAATGAATATACTGGAGATATCTAAGCCTATCTGGCAACAAAAAAATGGCAAACAGGCTTCAGGTTTGTGAAAGCAGGCTCACTATTCACAACAACGAACAACCTCCACAGACTGGCAGGTGTTGCAAAATAGGCTTCTCAGTGAAATGTCATTATGTTATATAATTATGTTATAATTCCCCCATCAAGGAGCCAGGCTGATGCAGTGGTTAGAATGCAGTATTGCAGGCTAACTCGGCCAGGAGTTTGATCCTCACCGGGTCAAGGTTGACTCAGCCTTCCATCCATCCAAGATTGGTAAAATGAGGACCCAGATTGTTGGGGCCAATATGCTCACATTGTAAAACACCTAGAGAGGGCTGTAAAGCACTGTGAAGTGGTATATAAGTACTATTGCTATAATCACTCTTTACAGCTCTTTAACTGAATCTTGTATTATAACCTTAAAATACCTATCATACTGGAAATCTACAAACCACCTCCAATTTTGTAAGCATTTTCGCATTGCAACACAACACTACCCCTACACTTCTGGGAAAGGATTCCTCACTGTGTTATATTGCAAAATACCTGTGAATTTGTACACGGATGAGAAAAGAGATTTGAAAGCTACAGGCTGTATTTGGGTGTTTAGAAAACAATTTTTATTCATTTCTCTGTCTTACCAGTTGACCTTCCTAAGGAAGTGGTTTTTTGAGGACTGGCCATGTCCATTATGGTATACATTTTGTTACAACATCCAAGACACATGCTAAATAATGTTAAGCATCTGTTTAAACAGTAGTGTTTTGATGGATTTCTCCTTTCCCAGGGAAGGAATTGACAGTATTTGTTTTACAATTGGATCCTGTCCTGGAAACGGCACACTTCCCTATCTGGAAGTGTTGCCTTTTCTACCCGCTTTCTGCTTGCTTTAGTGGGAAAATAAAGCCTAACTAGATTTTTGAGGATATGCTGAAAAATCTGTAGTATTAAGCTACACTCATTACAAAAATATTCAATAAACCACAGTAGGCTTCTAAAAGGATATTAATAGTTTTGATGAATGGCAGGAGTATGTTTCCACAGAAAGAGTGCCCAGCTGCAAGTAGAAATCATAACAGCCTACTATTTTTGTGAGCATAATTTAAGCAAATTGAAACTTGACAACCACTAATTATGCTCAATGACTCTTTCATTTTTCCCTTTTTTATCATTTTGGCTGCAGCTGCCTCGATGTAAAATCTGTTACCATTTTTCAAAATACATTTTCTATTACTGGCACGAGGCACATCAAATTATGCAATGCACGGGAGCTAAATGCTACCTCTTTCAACGAACTAAAATAGTCTACAGTTGTAGTGCTATAATTCTAAACATTATTTGTGGTATAGAGGTTAGAAATACATAATTGTCCCCCCTCCCCAACAAAGCAATAATTGCGTATTTTTCAGAAAATACTCATCACTTCTCAGACAGTTACATTGTAATGTGAAGTATTCTTTATGAGAAGCTACTCTAGAAGTGATTGTTTTTGGCCAATTCATTTTCAACAGGGGTGTACAACTATTGAATTTGTTATATGAAAATGCACCAAACATACAGGTTGTTTCTTTTAAGACCTTGCATACACAACCTGACTCCAGATTGAGGTGTTTTTTTTTCCTTTTCTGCATAATTATCCTACTGAAGAATTGGTTCCTGCAGTATCTATTTGCCCTTTAAAGTTTTCTTGTTGCAAACAATTGTAGAATTGTTGCTACCAATTGGTTTTTAAATCAAAGGTAGACATAGTGAAGCATTCTACCATGATTGAAAACAAAACAGTGACGCTCATCTTGATCATATGATGCCTGGTTGCTAGGTAATCAAGACCTTTCTGAAGAGCTAGTGTAGAATTAGCAAAGTTTCAGGGAATACATACTTATGTTGGCTTCCTTTTATTAATTTCTCCAACATTTGGTTAAACAAACTAATGGTGCTGATTGGAGTTCCTTCCTTCTATGTATTTTCCAGCAATGTCCATCATTTTTTTTAGCAGTCATCTGAACAACAGCTGCCCATAAATGGGCGACAGGTATTGTAAGTTTGACATCACTTCATCTTTAAGTAAGGAGTTGATCTAAAGTCCTCTTCTCCAAGGACAGAGCAAGTGCCTTGTTTCAAACCTGATGAATTCAAAGAGGAAGACACTTTCACATACACAGCTTCTTATTCCAGTCTTTCCTGCCAAATACTGTGTTCTTTACAGGTACAGCTAGCAGCAGTCACAACTAATGACTCCTCACTCCCCAGTGTGATATCAAGGGCTGAATTTGTCAAGCTCTCTCCCCCCCCACCCTAAAGAGAGCTGCTCTGAAATTTGCCTGTTTCTGACTCAGTTTCTTAAACTACGTTGCTTTCCTCTCAGATGAATGGTCTCTGGGTGACAGGCATTCAGAATGGCAAAAATAAATTTGGCCTGTGGGAGACTGTTACGCATATATTTTTCCACTATAAATAAACATCAAAGACAAAGCATAGTGAAAAGCATGTTATCTTTTCTTGGATCATTAAAAAAAAAGTGAGGCCTTAAGCCCAAGAAAAGGTCAGCAGTTTTAACAAAGGAGAAATAAAATATTGAATAATAAAGGTCAGGATTATTACTGTCAAAGAGATGAATTGATTAATTAATGGCCAAAGAAAAGATTACATGTAAAGCGTTGCAATAGTCAAATGCTCACTGTTCCATTTAAATGAAAGTGGTCAATCCTTTGATGATTATGTTTATATGTATGTATGTATGTATGTATATATATATGTATGTATGTATGTATGTATATATGTATGTATGTATGTATGTATATATGTATATATGTATGTATGTATGTATGTATGTGTGTGTGTGTATATATATATATATATATATATATATATATATATATATATATATATATATATATATGTGTGTTTTCTGAGGTTCTCGCGGGTATTTGTATGTGGATCTTTGGTTATTCGGGTTTTCTCCCGCGTAAGATTGGAAGTATCTA